ATGTAACCTGAACAAATCCCATTCAGCTGGCATTCACCTCCTGCACCTCGCCAAGTGAGCACTCATTTTCAGCCTGATTGATCTTAGTGTGAATCAGTGCGGGAACCGTTGCTCTGTTGTTGTGAGGCGGCGCTGTTGTTGCGGTGATCAGATATACGGCTGTGCTGCCAGGAAGTGTGCCTTTTTAAATTTACTTGGCATAAAAGCGGGGGGACCGATCCCATTGCGGCATGTGTGGTCTGAGTCATGAAAAGCACACCTTCATCAGCGTAAGTGGGCACCGTTACTGGGTGTCCCCTCTGTTCACTTACAGAAGGAGCTGCTTTCGTCCTTTGTGCCTTCCATGGTGCCATCCGGCAGCATCTGGAGGTAGAAGCCGTGTCTGCAGTAGAGCCGTGTGACGATGCCCTTCAGCTGAGGCTCTGCAGAGCAAACACACATGTTAGCGTTAGCTGGTGTGCAAATACTGATGAGCACATGTGCCTACACACACGGATGTGGAAAAGTGTCGCACGTTGATATTTGTGTCATCACAGCTGTGAGTGAACCATGGCTTTGAGTTGAATTAAATGTTTGCAAAAAAAAGCATACGGGGTGCAGCATTGCAAGTTGGTTTTCATCCATCCATCCATTTTCATCCACTTATCCGTTACCGCCAGCAAAAAATGCCAAATATTTTAACAGTTACATAAAAACATTTAATATATAATGACATTTCTAATCATGTCTTGTGTAATTACTCTTAAAAACCAAAGATTATTACTCGGTGTGGCCTCATTGAAATATTCACTCAACAGCTTCCCATAGTTCAGTGGTCGAAAGAAAGAAAGTAGATGGTCAGTTCCCCTCAAGGGTCAAGGAGCTTTTCAGCATACGGGGTGCAGCATTGCAAGTTGAAAGGAGCTTTTCAGCATATGGGGTGCAGCATTCCAAGTTGGTTTAATCTTTTTTTTTTACTAAAAGAATGATTTTTTTCCCTGATGCATTTTGTACCCTCTGGTGACATTTGTAGTCAAAAATGTACACCCCATATTTGCAAGTCTTCATGTACTGTAGACTGTACTTATTTTGGTACTTTTGGCATTTGCGCTGATTAGACTATTTCAACGATGAGCACCAACATTGTTTCGATTGTGTTAGTATTTTTTTGTAGCGTCACATTCAAAGATCCTCTGGACACGTTTGTTGTCAAAATTTTGCACGAGCACAAAATCAGCAATAAAATACATACGTTAAAAAATACATTTACACATTGCCTTCATACAACACTGGTGTCAACTGCACTTCAGAAAAAGTGTGTGAACCACCGCCTTAGTCTGACCTCAGCACTGAGCACAGGAAATGTTTTTGTGTGGTGCTTCACAGGAAATGCTTTTGAAATTTAAACGGTGTCTTGTTTGCAGTGAGAAATTCAATATCTTGAGTACAGGTCGGCCACGGCACAAAAAAACAAGAACAAGTTCATCACCGCTCTGAAACTTTAATGAACCTTCTCCGCTCGTCTGTTTACCCTCCGCTCTCAAATACCAACTGTCGTCATTTTCTTACGTATACCCTGTGGCGTCCCAGCACTGTTTGTTTCAGCGAGCCAATCGGAGCGATTTGGACCACAGATGTGCTGACATTCCTTTGTACGGCGTGGTGTTTTTGGCCGTGATGTGTTTCCTTTCTTAGACTGCGCTCCCATGACTGTGAGACTCTGGTGTTATAAAGTGCTGAGGGAGACTAAACATTGGTTCACAGGCAATGGTGGGAATGCTGTAACATTCCCACAATCAACTTTTAATGAGATGTATCAAATATGGATAAGGACTGAGAGGAACAGGATGGGAGCAGCTGGCAGTTGGCCTTTGTTTGACAGGCAGGTGTGTGTGTGAGAGAGAGAGTGAGTGTGTGAGAGGAAGTGAGTCTAAAAGAGTCAGGGAGAGACAAAAAGACCAGACAATACCATTTAATATAAAAAATATACAAAAGCTTGGATTTTTCAATGTAGTTCAATATGAAAAAAAATATATAATATAAGTTCTTGGACTAGGATCTGACCAGAGCAGGGGTCACTTGAGTCACTTGCAAGCTATCAATAGCTCGTCAGCCCCTTTCCATGTAGCTCACCAAGGGCCAATGAATCAAACAAACAAATAAAAAAAAAACGTCATTGGTCGCTCAGCAAGCGCTGCTTACATTTGTATCCAATCAAAATGAACAGTTGTCCCGCCCTCTTCCAAAACGAAATGTTTATTTGCCATTTAGCTATCAATCAGAACTTGCTACCCTGATTAGTCAGTGGTGTTGTGTTATTAGCTGAGTCATGATGGTGACAGGAGTCCAAACCAACAACAAGATTCAATAGACGCTGTTGTTGGCCACAGCACACGTGAAACCCTACCAACCAAACATATCAAAATCTAAGCCGGCGATCGACAATGCGCAGGAGAACTCTGAAAGGTCGGCACGTTGAGTGCAATTACTCCCTTTTGTCAGCAGAGGGCCTGGCGTGCAGACAACTTTTGGCCGGAACTTGTTGTTGGCGGGTCAAAAACCGAACAAACATATTTTTATTTTCTTAATAAAATCATATTAAATGTGTCACTCTGCTACCCTTCCATTGCGGAACATGAATAAAATAGATATCTTTCCATAGTAGAAAACTGAAATTCAAAATTAAAATAATGATAATCTCAACCTTTAATTATTTTGTTACTGTTTAATAGGCTGCGGCATTCTGCAGAAAATAAAATTAAAAAATAAAAACACCATATTTGGTTAAAATACAGGAACATATTGGGTCTTCAATATATGGATATTCTTTGTGAACTGCCACGCTGTCAAATAACAACAACAACAACAACAATAATAATATAAATGTAATAAAAATAATAATTATCATTATCATAACAATACTTTGGTGAGGTTTTAATAAAAAAGGTAAAAATAATAATTATCATTATCGTAATACTTTGGTGAGGTTTTAATAAAAAATGTGATATGTTGATAGTAACACATTGTGAATGTTTAGACAAAGAAATCTTTGATGCCACATATGTCATATGGTAAAAAAGAAATTGAAATATGTATTTGCTGTGTGGAATATTAAAAGTGGAATAATAACTTTCAAACATTTCTGCTTATCTCTCTGAAGCCACGATGAGCAGCACTCACACTGATGTGTGTAAATAAGTCAGAGCACTGGGGTGGAGTGTGTAAATCCTCCCTTAACTGTGTGTCTGAACGCTTCTCATTTGAGGTGCAGCCAGATTGAGTCCACGTAAGTACCACAAGATAAAGGCTCAGCCAGCAATTGCAGCATGATGAGGCAGGGAAGGTCAAACATGGAGTGTGGTAATCTGTAATATCCCGAGTGTTAATCTCATATTAAGCCTCATACCACACTGCAGGCCATGTGCTCTTTACCACGGCTGTCACAGCGCGGGGCCCCAGCAACAGACGCACGGCTGCTCACACAAAGTCTGGTGTTGACCTTTAATGTGAGTAAACCTGCAAACAGCGCTGTCCAGAGACGATGCCATAACATTTGGTGGAAATGCTTGAACAAAAGGAGACAATGAACTGCTGTAGAAAAACAAGGCTGCTTTAAAGAATGAATAAAAAAAAACGCAAGGTCACATTCAACAACTCACCCCTGATCTGGGGAGAAGGGATCGGAATATTTAGGCGAATCAGAGGGCTAAAAGGTTTGACTAAAGCTCTTCAGTTAGTAAAAGTCCAAGAAAATCACATCTTGACATCATCGGTAATGTTGTTGTCAGGGAGGTCCGATAATATCAGTCAATGTTAGCATAGCTATGTAATGGTAAGAATGCCTGGGTTTCATCCATGTGATGATGTGTCATTACCTTCTCTACCTTAACCCAAACGAGTTGGAATCGCATATTAAGTGTTTGGACAATATCGGAAAGTTGATATCAGAATTGCATATTAAGTGTTTGGACAATATCGGATATCGGCAAAAAGCTAAAATCGGAAATCCCTCATTATTGTCTTAGATTGAGATTTTAATAGGGTCGTGACTGTACATGAGCGCTTCAGTAACCTCCAGTGAGGTTTAGTAACTCACAGTTTACAGATGAATGCAACCGGAATAAAATTAAAACAATTCGTATGGTACTATTATAGTATAGCAGAAAAGCTTTTGCACTTTGAGAAGTCGAATTCGTACGATTATAGTATAGGAGAAAAGCTTTTGCACTTTGAGAAGTCGTTATGTATACATACAACTCTTCTGGACAGACACCAGAATTGGGCCGGATAAGACAGTTTGGGTGGCCAAATTCATCCATTATCTACAGCTTATTCCCTTTCAGGGTTACGGGGGGGATTTAGGGGTTCAGCCAATCCCAGCTATCAATGTGCGAGGGCGTGGTACACCCTGGACAGTTCTCTAATCCATTCACCCTCACAATCATACCTATGGTGAATGTTATAGTATCTGATCAACCTACTGTGAGGTCTGTGTGTGTCTCCCTTTCCTCCTGTGGGCGGAGTTAATCAGTGTGATCACACTCACCTGTGTCTGTCATTAGTCTCACTCCTGTCACCTGTTACCACTGGTATATATACCTCTCTCCCTCACTCTGTCTTCCTGGGATCGTTGTGTGTCTGTGTCTTCCCACAACCCAGAGACCCTGGTAGTTTCTTGAGAATCCAGTAAGTGGACGTATTTTAGTTTTTTCTGAAATAACTTCCTGCACCTGAAGAGAGCCTCCCTCGTGCTTCATTTAGGTTCTGCCTGCTTCCTCTCATGGCAGAAACGTAACACCTACTCCCCTGTAGAGCCTGTTTTTGGGCGGTGGAAGGAAGCCAGTGTACCATGAGAGAGAACATTCAGCTGTGATTAAAGCAGTGATTCTCAAAGTGTGGGGCGTGAGGACTTTACAGGGGTCACAATAAAGCAAATATATGTTCCACAGTTGCGTCAAAACTGCTATATTGTGTTTTTATTTCTTTAGTTCAGTGAGAATAAAAGTTTGGTAGAATGTACAGTGTTTCAAATGAAGTTCGGAGGAGTTAAAAACGGCTTACCCAGAAATCCTTGGGGCTCCTGTGGAATGGGCTGCTAAGTATCTTGGAATGTTTAGGTGAAGTCTTCTATGCTGATTGAATATTGATGTTGATGCAACAAGGAAATCTGAGTTTTCCCATTTCAGCCAAAAGAAAATAGAAACTCTTTGGGTCCACGTTAACATTTACACAGTTGACATTTTAATAATGGATAAAAGTCCAAATTAGTCAATGCATTACAACATCTTAGGTCAAAAACTCAAACTACAACCAGATATTGTTAGTAATAATAGTAATGCTGAATCTAACAGTGCTTGGAGCAGCATGTGCTGGTGTGCTCATTTGTTGTCTAACCCTTTAGTCTTTTGTGGAACAAAGGAACCCATTGATTCTGGTTCATGGCTCTTGGAGCCTTAAGGCCACACCGGTTAGATCATTAATCTGGTGTTGAGTTATATTCCAAGGACATGTTGAGACCTGCGCTGTTTATTTACTGTTTCTTATTGGGTTATTTTCTTTTTACTGGAGGTTACGACATTGGCTTTTTTACTGTTGATTCTTTAAAAAAAACAATGTAGAAAAGCTTCTGACATTGGAGGGACAATAGGGACAATAATTCTTGGCTGCAATCTGCCTTCAAATCTGTCCTGGGAAGATGTGATAAGATAATCCTTTGTTTGCTGCACTTGGGGATTATCGGACAAAATATAGCTACATGAGCTTCAGAATTTACAGCAGAAAAGCATGCTGTAATGCGTGTAGTAGTATTATAATAAGTACTTTATTTATTATTATTTATTTTGTTAAGAATGCTCTTAAAGCAACATTTTGGCAAGTAGACCCAGAATATATTTATGGTTATTATAATTGTAATTATCTGTTGTTTTTTTTCCCCCTTTGATTTTTAACATACAAACACAAATGGAACAGCATACTCACTTGCACAAATCAATGAGCCGCTTCACACTTGGGTCATGACTCGCCTCCGCACTGAAGCTAATTACACTTTTTTTTTTGTTTTGTTTTTGTGTGTTATCCCTAGTGGCTTCTGCTAAAATTGCTTTGACCGACCACTAAACAAGTCCTGAAGGTATTGGCAATGATTAATAATGATTGCACACATGAAGTGCTGCGAGGAGGACTTGCTGAGCCTTCGCCCCCTGAAATATTTTTGGTCAATTTGGTCATCCATGTCTCTGACTAGTGTAGCCTTGTTGATTTGTAAATATTCATAAATGTACTGAATCAGGTGTAGTCAAAGTCTACATTTTAAATACTTGCGCTGGGCTGCAGTTCATTGAAACTTATTGACCTTGAATAGACACTGTACTTCTGTGTTGCATTTGTGTACTTGCTTGCACCTAGTACTGGTAAGCAGTGCTTCATTTGTAAAGTCGGATGTCCGAGAATGCAGAACAGGTATTTCTTGTGATCTTTTTTATTTATTTATTTTTTCATTACAACATGTTTGTGGCGGATCTGGTTCCAGCAGGACCCAGATCAAATTAAACCCAGCTCCTACAGATACCTTTTAAGGTTAGGTATTAATATGTATGCAATGCACTGGAAGTCTTGCCACTGTTCTGTTTGATGAATCTCTGTCTTCCCCGTTAAAATTCCTCCCAACTGCTGACTTTGTCAAACTTCTGGTTGGAGTGAAAAGCCGTTATGGAGTAACAGTTTGCTGGATCAGGGGGAGTGTGACGACAAGTGTTAAAATGATGTATCATGTCTGGTACTGATACTGGTAATGGTATGGGTGCATCCGTATTTTGTTGCATAGAATACGACATCACTCAAAGCAAAGAAATTTGCCTTGAGTGATATGAAGTCGAGGAGATGTCACAAAAAAACTCTAGTTTGAGGTCTAATGGAATAGAAAGCACATGACAGTGCATGTAGACTTCTTTTTTTTACAGTTTGTCTTCAACAGTGCCAATGGCCCCGCCATTGGGTTATATTAAAGTGATCATAAATCAGCAGCCAGATTCACACTGAAGACAGTCAGTGTTCAGAGGGAGTCCTTCTGGAAATCTTCATGAATTGAGACATCCCAAGCTTCTTGAAGCTGCTGGCCCATGAAGGACAGCCATTCACAGATATTTATCATCGTTATTTTTTCAACCATACCAGCTTTATTAGACATTTTGAAGCGTTGACAGACCAAATGAAGCAGCGGTTGCGTCATGACATTCGCAAAGGTCAAAAGGCAGATCCACGGCCCGTGATGCTGCCGGCCACAGTGACTCATACGCTCATATGTAGAGAACATCTAATGCCATCGTCTTGCGTCTGCGTTCAGTGCATAAAGAGATATACTGTCGTATGTATTCGTGTACAGTCTGTGCCATGTGATCCATTTAGGCACACACAGAGATGGAGGGCGGCTGCATTAAATCCCTATGATGAAACTAAATGGTCTGACATACTCGATTCTTTTCTAATTGCAAATTCATGTGGGAACCTTAAATCAAGTCCTGTCATCTTCAGCGGTGCAGAAGATCGCTTCTACAACTGAACGGCGCGTTCATCAGACTCAAATGCAGCCGCGGCACGTGTCATGTGACACAAACAGCAGCAGGAGGATGTTCATAGGAGGAGCACGCAGATAACGAACAGGACAGATTATGATAAGATGACAAAGACGGGTATTAGATGTGACAGAGAACAAGCTCAACCCACAGATCTACATCTACAATTAGACAGTTCTGTCTGACATTCAGGGAATTCATTTTGTTTGACCATGTCACTGGTCATCCTCCTCCTTGGCCAGCTCTTTACTGCAGCTGTGCAGAAAGGTGCAACAGCGACTTAAAAAGGACCCTTCCCAATTTGATGACTCCGACTATAAATATGTCCTTTATCTGCTGTACTTTATGGCTCTGGACTGGACTAGAAGACATCGGCCATCTTAAAGTTTTTGTTGACCAATTTGCAGTAAATGCGTCCTGAATATAATAAGATTACAAATTTCATTCTGACCAATAGTAGTGTGTCTGTGGAATAATCACAATTAATCATGATTATTTGTGATCACAATTAATTACGATTATTTGTGGTCACACTTAATCATGATTTATTGAGATCTAATAGCCTTCCTTTATATAACCAAAACAAGCCTCCCCAACCCCACCCCAAGTAAGTCAAGAGTTGCTTTCAAAACTTTATTTAAGTTGAACTCAGTTTGACAGTCGTGTCAGTCAGCCTGTCAGCTGTAGACTTATTGTCTCGGTGAGGCAGCAAGGACTCTGCATGGACAGTCGAAATATTGGATTTAAAGTGTGAGTCACGTTGGGGGCAAATGTGGTAAAAAAGTTTGAATCTGCTTAATCATGCAAATGAATTAAGATGCTAGTTTTGACAGCCTTGAGCCCTGGTATAGTGTAACCTGCCTGTTAGTTTAACTACATCAGCTAAAACACATTGATTATTATGGCAGGAGACCTTGAATTTAGTCACAGTTAAAGAAAATTTTCTTTCCCTTTTATGAGGGAAAACAGAAAATGACACACCACCTCTGTCTCTCTCTCTTCTCCCTCTCCAATAGACACAGAGTGGATTTGGAGATGGTGTGATTAGAGGGAACACAACCGACCGAGGGTTGACCTTCATCAAGAGGTTATCATGCAAAAAGAGGAAGAGGAAGTAGAGGAGGACGATGGACCAAAAGAGATCTACAATGTAAGTGTCATGCAAGGAGTGAAAAGAGCTATGGAGGACAAAGAGCAAATTGTCTAAATGATGAATATACGCAGTTTTTGTTATAATGTATGGCTTTCAAATGATTGCAAATTTTAATCTGACTAATTATAGGACGTCTGTGGATTAATCACGATTAGTTTTGAGTATGATTCATTGATATCAATAGCCTACCTTAGTATGACCAAAACAACCTTTTTTTCCTTTTAAATATATCGAGAGTTGCTTTCAAAACCATATTCACCTTAACATATGATTGACAATTGTTTCAAATGGGAACTTTTACACACAGTTTAGTTCTGTCATTTATCTGCTCTGTCTTTCACTGAATATTTGTATTTGTGGGGTTTATCGACTCGTAGAACTGGGCAGTTTTTGATGGCTTAAAATGTTTTTATTTAATTTTTTTTTTTTTTTTTTTTCACTGCGGTAATTTCAGGACACATCTATTTATCATTTTATGCTCAAACTGTCCGGATGTTTAGCAACACTGAGCAACATGCACCGGTGAAGCAAACACTGTAAAGGGAGCTGAAGTTCAATCTGCACCATTTGAAAAATGACAGCTGTTATCAATCTGTGTCAGTCATCTGTGACGCCCGGCTGAGATAGTATGTGTGAGTGCGTCGGGCTTTGGACACAAGCCTGCTGGTCAACTATGAGAAGAAATAGTCATTTTCAATTCAAGTCATTTTTCAGATTGATATCATATCATATCAGCATATCATAATGTTTTTTTTTGGGGGGGGGGTCTAAAATGCACAGAACAAAGGAAGAAATGATTTTATTTTGAAAGAAAACGTAAGACATACTGTATATCTTGAAAACCCAGGCAGATATGGACGGATAAGGAGGAGAAAGAGAGAAAAAAAAGCAGCAGCATTAGAGCAGGAAGAAGGAGGTATGGTGGAGATACTGAGGTTAAAAGAAGGAACAGATATGCAAGTAGTGAAGTGGAAATGCTGAAGTAGGAGAGGCTGAGAAAAAGACATGATTAAGACACAGGAGAAATCACATAAAAATGTTTTAAAAAAAAAAGAGTAAGAGAAAACGAGTCAAACACCGAGCCATAGATCAGCCTTCAACAGGAACAACACGTACAGGTCAGGTACAGTAGCAAGAAGAGACCTTGTCTGCTCGAACTCATTACAGTTTAAAACAATCGCCCTAATGATTAAGTCTGAGAGCGAAGGAGAGCAAAGGAAACGAAAAAAGGAGCGGCTTTAGAAACCAGGAGAGGCTGCATGTATGGAATAAAAGATACGGAGTTGGGAACAAAGAAAAGGTGAAGGTTTGGAAAAAAAACAGTGCAGCAGAGATGTCGATAATGACATCAATGAAGAGTGGGGCGAACACAAAATAAGGTTCGCCATCGGTATTGTTTCTTTTTCTCCACGAGTAAACAGATGTGATTGTGAGGGAAAATCAGTGTAAGGACTGTGAGATGAGACTCGTCGCCAGTAGATCAGACAAGGAGATCAAAGAAGGGCGGTGAGAAAACAGCTATTTAAATGCACGGAGCCCTCGGTGGCGTTCACACAAAGGCAACGCAATACCTCCTAGGAAATAAAAGCCAGTTTGTTACAAAAGGAAAAAAACAGAAGAAGAGAAAGAAGAGGTGCTGAACATGATTTTTTTTTTTTTTTTTTTTTTTTTGTTATACAGAATACCAACCCTAGATTCAACCAAGTTCTGTCCGGGGTCAACCATCTAAAGCAATGGGTGATGGGAATAAGTGAGAGTAGAGGTGATGTGTGGCTGAAGGTTAGTGATAGCAAGAGTGAGGAGATGGTTTTTTAATTGTCTTGCATTACCTTCTATTTAATTTTTTATTTATCTCAAATTACATTCCAAAACTTTTTCTTTTTTTTTTTTTTTTTGTTTTTTTTTGATTTTTTATAAATAAATAAGATAAATCAGTGCACACCTGCCATTGTTTCTGGTTGAAAACTGTCGTGTTATGTTGTTGCTTCCTGCACGGACAGGAGTTTTGACTCTGGCCTGGTAGCAGACCTTTTCCTTTTTATTTGTGAATGAAAACTTTGCAGAATGAAGGTAATTTTCTGGTGCCTAGACTATTTGCTGATTCCAGGCAGAATGTGAACTGCTTGTTTGCTGTGAATAATCTCTGTGAAGTAATGTCACCAGAGAGAATCTGCACAAAAGAACAGGTAATTGGCTGTATTTGCTCCTTTAGCACCAACGGGAATACTCCCCACTTTTAAAGCCTCTGTTTAGGTCAGCACTTACCAGGAAGTGTAGATAATAAATAATAAACATCTGGAACATGCAAGGAGTCATTATTAGTGGGAAAGGGCAAGGGCGGTACAGAGGGAAGACTGGAGCAGGAGAGAGAGAGAAGCCTTGTAATGAAAGACATGTTGATGATGAAGAGGGAGAAGCAGTGTGGGTGGAGAAGTTGGGTTCTTCGTCATTGACTCTTCCCAGCGTTGCAACAGCAGGGCCGTAGTTAATTGATCTTTGCTCACCTCCCACCCTGCTTCCTCCATCTGTGATCGACCATCGCCGCTTTGATTCTCACCCGTTACTCCTTTTTTCTTCTGTTCCTTTTCATTTTAAGCTCCTCTTTCCTCGTCTGCGTTGGACGTCTTCTCATCATTCCATTTGCCTCCCCTCCCTGCCCTTCATTCTTACCTCGTGTATTAATCTTCCTTCATCCCAAATGTTCTGCTCATTAATCAACCCATCCGTCCCAGCTTCCCCTTCGTTCGTTCCCCTGCCATGTCCTCTACACCAGGTTTTTCCAACCTTCCCTTGTTCTATTTCCATCCCGACCTTCCCTTTCTTCTCCATGTCTCTTTGACCTTCCTGCCTCCTCCTCCAGGCCCTGATCTGTGGTGGGTTGGTAAGATCTGCCAGTTGATTGCTGTTGTAATTACCATTAATAGCAAAAGCCCTTGGGATAGAGAAACCCTCATGTTGATCCAGTCTTTTAATTGTGTCCAGAACAACATGAAGTGGCTGTAGTTCTTGTTCTAGCTTCCCTTACCTGCTCATCATCAATACCAACCTGTACGAATCTCATGAACTGACTGTTGGATTAACATGAGATGTGACACTTTCTACATGATGATCCACAACACTCAGCCTGAATGTTCAAACCTCCTTCGTTAGAGACACTAATTGTGTGCAGATTGGACGGTTTCACGTAGGCTGAGTCCTTATGAGACATAAGGAAAGAAAGGCTAACCATCAACATACACCTGACTCACCCTTGAGGTGAGATAAAGCAATAACATTTCAGCGATGTCGCAGGAGAAAGGTGCAGCAGTTGTTGTCGTCTTACATGTAAATAATGTGGTTTTTTGTTTGATGACATAATACAGAGGTTCTCAAAGTGGGGGATGCGCCGCCTAGGGGGTAACTGTGCAATTGTGCAGGAGGTGGGGGAGGACACAGATGAAATAAGTGAATGAAACCGTTAGACAACTGGACGTGAAATGTTCTCAAGAAGATGTTTCACCTCTCATCCAAGAGACTTCTTCGGTTCTGAGATCATTGCTGGACCTGTCAGAGTTCACCTTCCTCTGACTTAATGGATCCATCACAAAGAGCTGTTTTCTCATAGTTCATAGTTTGAGTTTTTATTGCTCATCCAAAAATGTACAAATTCAGTTCTGAAGAAGCCTCTTGGATGAGAGGTGAAACGTCTTCTTGAGAACATTTCACGTCCAGTTGTCTAACAGAATTCTTCAATCTTGACCATGACCTGGATGACTGAGAATCTTCACAGATGAGCGAATGAAACGTAACGCAGCATATTGACCGATGAACCGAGACTTGCAGAAAAAACTGATTGGTGGAAGGCCGTGTAAGGTGAATATCTGATTATAATATTGCAAAGGAAGGGCGTTATTTTAAATTCTTCATCTCGTTTTTGCTGTCGCCTGTTCAATCCGCTCGGAGCAGCAGTACCAGTGCATTGGCCCCTCCCCACACACTGACTCCCGTCTACTGACCAAAGATGGCAATGCTAGCATAAAATGGACACGTTTTTACGGAATTCCCAAAGAAAGCAAAGCAGAGGATGAACCAGTGTGTTCTTAGAAACCAACAGAAGAACGCAAAGAAAGTTTGGGAACCACAGATATAGTATATAAACCGCTGGAATAGCTCTTGAAGAACTCAGGATGGTTCACATTTGAACAAATGTGCATAACCATTTTTTTTTTCATCCATGTGAAAATACCTGCATGTGAGCACTGCACCTTCATGCATGTGACAGTGCATGAGTGTGTGTGTGTGTGTGTGTGTGTGTGTGTGTGTTCTTGGCCAAGGCTCTGACAGAGATGGATGAGGCAGAGCTGGACCTGCGAGGGACTGTGGTGCTTTTTGCATCAGTGACCTCTAACCTTGGAGAGTCCAACGACAGCAGTCACACTCTCCTGCCTTGCATTAGTTAATGACTGCTGGATGTTTCCATGCAGGCACACAGGTGGATTCCTTTCTCCCTTTCTTATCATCAAGAAGAGTCAGTGTGTGTGTGTGTAAGAGAGAGAGAGAGAGAGAGAGAGAGAGAGATACAGACAAACATAGAGGAAAAGAAGAGAAAAATGATTATGGAGAGAATTCTTTCTCTCTTTTTTTTTATTTATATTTGCCATAGTAATGGAAAGAGATGAATCTATTTTAAGTTGCACCGTTACCAGTTCTGGTATCAAACCCAAAATTTGGGAATTTAATAAACACTTTGTTTGTCGGAAATCAAGAGGGTGTATTTAAATCATAATGTGCTATTGGTGTAAAAGCTATTTTTAATTTAGATTGATATAGAAGCAAATATGCAAATGGAAATGCTGGCACTATGGTTTTTGTTGTTGTTGGTTTGATGGTTTGGTTTTATATCAGAAACTGATGAGACCTCTGTGTTTACACTGCTCTGCGTGCTTGGTTCTTTTTACTATCATGATGTCAAAAGCAAAAGAAAATGTGCTTTAAATCAAAGATATGAAGCATAGGTT